GATTGGATCATGCAGCAAACAGTGGGGAGCTGTGAGAAGAGGGGGATACGCTGGCTGGACTGCGGAAAAGAACCTAGAAGATCTGGATTTCGCAGATGACTTGTGCCTGATGTCACACAAACTTGAAGATTTACAGGCGAAAACTAACAAGTTGGTAGAAGAGGCGAGGCAGCAAAGACAGGGCTTCAAGTGAATATAGAGGAGACAGAGGTGATGAAGATACCCAACCAATAACAACAGCAACAACAACAACAAACTCCAATCACCATCAACGGGAAAAACCTAAAGGAAGTAGCCTCTTTAACCTATCAAGGCAGCATCCTCTCAACTACAGGCGGCACACGAACAGATATGGACGCCAAAGCTACGATCGGAAACACACCAAGACAGGCTTTCATTAACCTGAAACCAGTGTGCACATCTACTGCACTCCACTCAGCAGAAAGCCTCGACAACATCCAGATTTTCAACACCAATTCAGTCAAGTCAGTGCTCCTGTATGGTTCAGAGACTTGGCACGCTACAAAAGGCATTTCCAACAAACTACAGACATTCATCAACAACTGTCGCCTACACTGGCTCGTTACTGAAGCTCAGATGGCCAGAATAATAAGAATAAGCAACAAGGAACTCTGACCACGCAACGAATCACCCAACAAATATGCAGAAGGAAGTGGAGATGGATTGGGCATACACTGAGAAAGCCGACTGGGGACATCACGCGTCAGGCCAGGCACTCTAGTGGAATCCCCATGGGAAGCGACAAGTTGGACGTCCGAGGTGAGGGTGACATGGAGGAGATCGTGCGAGGAGGAAATGAGAGCTTCTGGGCTGTCGTGGAGCCAGGTTGAAAAGATTTCAGAGAACAGAGTTCACTGGAGACGTGCTAATGAAGCCGTATGTTCCACTAGGAACCCAAGGGACTAATAATAATAAAAATAATAATACTGCTTAACTAAGCAGTTCCTGATTCATCTCGCACAGAGTTTTAATACGTATGCTGACTGGTTATCAGACGGTAACCAATAGTAAATATATTGTCTATTCTTTGGTTCTGACTAATTTTTTTTCGAATTACTTCGATTTTATCATCATATCGGTTATGTGACTATGTTTGAAAACACCTCCTATATATTTTGATTCGAGTCATACTAAAGGTATGACCCATGGCTTAGTATATACGCATGTACTTTGGACCATAATAGACCTCCTATAGAATTCAATTAGATATATTGATTATTCAGTAGAAAGAGTAACCAATTAAACGTTTTCTAACCCTGAGTGCTGGTCGAATCTTATAGATTATTTTGTAGTGTGGCCACCAAACTAACGGATATCAGTTACGGATCCACTTTGCCAACAAGTACGAAACCTATGCGCAATCCTTTGTGTTGACTCTTTCCAACCGTCCTATAGCAGGTAAATCTTAACTCAAATAGCTGTGTGATAACGTCCCTAATTGCGGTGATATTGATCTAAATATGTAAGGGGATGCCAGCTACCTCGAGGTTACAGATACACTTTGCTGGTGAGTACCATCAGATATGGAATCAATGTCCACAGCATCCTGATTATTGTCTACAACTACGTGATGCACATAGATCTGAATGTTCATGAAGAGAAAAGTATTTCACCTTGTACTAATGTTCGGTTGCGAGATATGCTAGTTGATTGCCAAAGACACAGAAATAATAGAGAAGATTTGTAGCTGAGAATGAGGATGATCAATGTTTGGTGTTCACCATAAAGTAGATACCCATCAAGACATCTAGCGTAGTGGTGAAACGTTCAAGAAAGAATAATAATTAGATATTGCAATCTCGTATGTATGATTAACTATACGTCATAGGAGTCTGTATGCCAATAGAGACCGATCAAGCAACAACAATAAAACTACAGCGGTCGCACATAAAGTAGCTGTAGTAGTTCAGTGGTCTAGTGGATAACGCTCTGGCATCTGAAGCGGTCGGTCCCGTGTTCGAGTCCTAGTGGGAACGACATCGTTTGCTGGGAGACAGGTACACCAATCCAGCTGATAAGTCCCAAATAGGGCGAAACGCGCGTCCTGTTTCACTGTCTGTTTTATGCTCGCATTATGTGAATGAATATCAGTTAAGCGTGAAAACTCAAAGGAGTACAGATTGGAAACTGTGATATGTAGTCTGTAGTGTGATTTTAGAAGATCAAGGATTCTATTTCATGAACTCGAATAGTTATCAGTGGCTGCAGAGCCGGGAGAAGTTGAAGATGCTGTGGTATTATTATCAGAGAGATAAGATGAAAGACTGGGAAGCGACGACTTGGAAAGTTTGATGGCAATCAAAAAGGAACTCAATATCGACAGAGATATGGGGACAACTTAAACTACATAGCTACCGAGATCGTGGAAGTTTACCTCTTTTTGAGGTGCCTGAAAAAGAAACTGGATTAGTAATAGTGGTGCATGGCTGTGGAATGCAAGGAAAATCTGTTTAAGGCAGGTTACACAAACCTTTTTAAGAATTTTGTATCGCAATTTTATTATGCAACCGCTGAACAAGAAAAACACATATTGCCGACACCGTAGGGCAAGGATGAGTTTGCTATTTTTACTGTAACCCCTTCCTTGTATGGGTTAGGCAGCATCAATATAGACAACTGGTCATTCACGAGAAACACTTTACTGCTGTCAAGCCCCGGTTCCACCGTTGAACCTCCAAAATAGTGCAAACTGTTTCCATTGTGATGATAAATTCTCTTTCGATTATCCAACAAACTATTCTAGTATGCTGACGTAACCTCAAGTAACAATCGTTCTCATCAGTATGAGTCGTTCTGATGTGCAATCCAGGAAGCCACATCAATAATATGGCCATCAAGCTAGAAGGCTCAGCATCACAATGCAATTTGATGGAGGTGATCTGCAGAAATCGCCGTTTTGTCTATGTTTCGTGCTTGTTGGCACTCGTCAGTGGGTTCGAATCCGAGAGGAGATATTAGTCTCCTCGAGGTCACAGATACATCTTACTGACGATTGCTCCTAACCAACAGATATCTATCAGTTGTTAACTCAGCTAACATACATGTAGATGCTTACGAGAATACAACTTACCCTGTCGAGAATGAACAGATCTAGGAATACTTATCTGAAAAGGTGACGTCAGAATTCAAGAGGAAAATAAACACATAATATACTTTACCGATGTGTTTAATCGTCGTTTGCTAACAAAAACCAAATCAAGAAGGCATATATATATATATAAAGGGAAAGAGAAAAGGAGGTGTAAAGGAAAATTCCGAAGTATCAGAATGTAAAAATGAATAAAAACGGATAAACAGATGCTTCGAAATAATAAAACGTTTTTCACAAATAACGAAAATCAAAGCATTAATTAAAGTTGGCATGCAAATGATACTTAATAGTTGGGATATTACACGTAATATGGATATAAATGAATGAATTGTATTGTAGCTGGCTAAACAAACCAACGAATTCATTTCATAAAATATATTTTTCAAAAAAAAAAAAAAAAAAAAAAAAGGAAGTAACTCAAATATAACTGTGGAGGACAGTTTGCTGTTAAGACTAACAAAGTTGAACAAGGCATAGATAGACGAAATTGCTCTGTGTGTGTGTATATAAAATGAAGCACGGAGTTGAGACAAAACCAACTAGAACATATGTATATATTTACAAATGTATAAATACGTCGATATATATATATATATATATATATATATATATATATATATATATGATCGCTTTTTGTACAGTATAAGTGTTTAAGATGAGTGAAGTAGTAATGATGATCGAACAAGATTTTAAGTCTACTTATTACGTTGTTAGTAGTTAAACATTTAAATAGAAAAATCTCATCCTAACTATTAAAAGCCAAGATAGGAAAGTATACAAAATGTGAAGAAGATAGGTAGTATTCAAAATGCAAATTGGAAAATAAATTATTGTAATTTAACTTACCCAACAATGAAGTGGACATAATAAGAAAGATTAAAAAGAAAAAAAAAGGAGGATGTCTGTTCTCAGTTTAAAAACTTTGGCATACATTCGTTGAGCACATTAGGTAATGCACATAATCATGATGATGATGATGATGATATTCGTATAGTTTGTTTTCAAATAATCAATTAATCAATTAAATAAACAAAAGATAAGACATAAAGGAATCATGATATATATATTAGTGAAGTGAAGTAATACATGTTTAGTATGTATTAAAATATACCCAGTTGGATATAGATGGTAAATATGCCAGGGTAGAGAAACGGAGGCAGATAGATAGGAAACAAGTGATCATATATCCTACAGTGATAGAGATTTCAATCAATTATATATAGAAGAAAGACATAATTAATAGATTATGAATGCATTAAACTGTACAAAATATAAACAGTATATGGTAATACATAATTGTTTAGCAGATAGAAAGAATTCAACTGATTGAGAATAAAATTCTTAAGATTAGAATAGAATATTTATTTAATTGGTTTAAAAATAAAATCAATAATGATCTTTATTGTTAATAATCATTATATACTTAGTCATGAAAGTCATTCATTGATTGATAAATATCATTTAAGTTACACTTGTTAAGTGTACAATCCCCATAAGAAATATTAAAACAAACAACACAAAGACAGAGGAGAGAAGAAAAAAAAAGAAGAAATATCATCTTATCATGATTAGTGTGCTGTTTTCAAACGATACCTTTTGTCGGTCTGTTTGTCTGAATACTAATAATAATAATAATCACAGAAAAAGTAAGTGAATATAGACGATTGATTGAATGAATACATCCATGTGTATTATATATGCATAAATATAAAAAGTGGTAAGAAAGACAAATAAAATTCACTTATGAGATCGATATTTTTATTACATTTCTTTTTTGTATATAACAATTAGGATCTACATTATTATTATTATTATTATTATTATTATTATTATTATTATTATTATAGAAAGGCATATTGGCAAAGAAATACATTAAAGGAGATATAATTTAAATTGGTATAAAAGCATTATCAGGGCCAAGTTTAACACGTATCGGTGATGATAAATACATATAACCATTAGATGTTGATGAAAGCTTACCTGATATACTACTATTATTATTATTCTCATTGACTTGAATACATCTACTTTCTGCTACTTTGTCTTTCTCTTCTACTTTATCATCATCATCATCATCATCATCACCATTGTTATGAAAAGTACAATGTGTTGTTTTAATTTCAATATCCTTTTTTCCTTTTTCTTCTTCTTCCTCATCATCTTGTTCTTCTGTTTTTAAATATTTCACTTCATTTTCAATATCTAGATAATTAATTAACAATCGAATGAATAATGTTTGTGGTCGAACATTTTGTAATAATTCACGTGGATCTTTACTAGTTGATGATGAACGCATTAAATTCGGTGCAATCACTGTTGATAAATTACGAGCATCCATTAATGATTTATTTGAATATTCTGATTTGGAAAGATGCTGTAAAGAATGATAAGAATAAATAAATAAAAAAAACGATTTGATTGTAGCTAACAGTAGAATTTTATATTTTCTTTGTGCTTTGAAGTTTCTTTAGCGGTTAGATTTGTTTTACGGGGTAAGGGTTGCTAGCCCTATGCCCAACCTTCCCTCTTTACCCGGGCTTAGGACTGGATCATGCAGCAAACAGTAGGCAGCGAGAAGAGGGGGATACGCTGGACGACGGAAAAGAACCTAGAAGACTTGGATTTCGCCGATGACTTATGCCTAATGTCACACAAACTAACAAGTTGATAGAAGAGGCAGCGAAGACGGGACTTCAGGTGAATATAGAGAAGACAGAAGTGATGAAGATACCGCACCACCACCATCAACAACAACAACAACAAACTCCAATCACCGTCAACGGGAGAAACTTGAAGGAAGTAACCTCCTTCACTTATCTAGGAAGCATTGTTTCAACTACAGGCGGGACGGACGAGGACGTCAAAGTCAGAATCGGAAAAGCAAGACAGGCGTTCATTAGCCTGAAACCAGTGTGGAGATCTTCTGCATTCGGCATGCGGAACAAGATACGGATTTTCAACACCAACGTCAAGTCAGTGCTCCTGTATGGTTCAGAGACTTGGCGCGTCACGAAAAGCATTTCCAATAAACTACAGACATTCATCAACAACTGCTTACGCTGACTCGCTACTGAAGATCAGATGGCCAGAAAGAATAAGCAACAAGGAACTCTGGGAACGAACCAACCAAGAACCTATCACTCAACAAATATGCAGGAAGAAGTGGAGATGGATTGGGCATGCACTGAGAAGGCCGACTGAGGACATCAGGCGCCAGGCCCTCGAGTGGAATCCCCAAGGGAAGCGACGAGTTGGACGTCCAAGGGTGACATGAAGGAGGTCGTGCGAGGAGGAAATGAGAGCTTGTGGGCTGTCGTGGGACCAGGTCCAAACGATCTCAGAGAACAGAGGTCACTGGAGACGTGCTACTGAAGCCCTATGTTCCACTAGGAACCCAAGGGACTAATAATAATAATAATAATAACAGTAGAATTTAAGACGGCGCGTTTTGTCCCCTTTATGACTCATCAGGTGGATGTATTTCGATCTCAGTGAGTAAGACTTGAACCTTATCCCTATTGCACGATAATCACTTCTTGTATAAACTTCAAGTATTATTGGGAACAATATCATTCATTGAAGTGCAGGTATAATCCAGCTGATGAGTTACAAATGGGATCAAATATGTATTCTAGATTCCATTGCTAACCAAAACCAAATTAGTCTTACAAGAATAAATATTCAGACAATAATATCAAGACATTCCCATAGAAGTCTATATTCAAATAGATGTCGATCTATTCCATCCAGTATAACAGAGGAGAGCTGCAAGTATCGATCACATCACCAAGAATGTCGCAAGATGATAACACTTGAACTCATCACCTCAGCCTCTGGAAAAATGAGGAGGCATAACATACTACTTGTAAATCAGTTTTAATAAGCCTTCTTTACACAATCACCTAGTTCACGGCTTAGTGATTGGTCTCATATATCCTTCCCGAGTTGAATCGATTCACTAATACCTATACAGGGTCTCAGTAATGACTGAAATCAAAACGTGCAACTTGGTTGCTGTGCGCTACGCAAGTATATATATATATATATATATATATATATATATAGAGAGAGAGAGAGAGAGAGAGAGAGACCATTCAAAACACAGACAACATTGTTGGTAAATTCAATCAAACTGATACACACACCTTCAATGAACTGTACTGTTCATCCTGGAACTTATCGTAGCTGAGTGGTTTTTCAACTGCCATCCAAACTGTAATATATACAGGGTTTCCATTGAAAACCATCCATCAGGCAAGACCACAGGATGGGATCCCTGACACAAAAGTGTCATGATCTACCGAAAGATACTACTACTGAACAACATAAGTATCAAGAAACCACTTCAGACTGACCTGTAGGTGTCACCAATCAGGTCAGAGTGACGGTCATTTCGTTTATTTGGGGATAAACTCATCAATGGTGTTCCAGAACAGATCTACATGAAGGAGTCGGATTGTTCAGTTCAATCTAGATTGTGGTGAGAAGTCCCATTTTTTTTTTCGTGCATTTGGTTGCTGGATAACTCGGGAACAAATAATTAGTTAGACTGTGAGAGGTAAAATACATATCGGTTATGTATACTTCAAGTCAAAGAACAATAAACTGGATTTTTGCCGAGAAATCAACAGAAAGTTAACTAAATCCTGATTGGAATCACCTTCATTTTGACAGTTATGTCCCAGTGAGAAGTCGTGACCAGTGAAATCATCCAAGTTGAACATAAGGACATTTACTCAACGACAGCACTAGATGGAGGTTGTATATATGATGAATTGTCAAAAGTTCGAAATATAGACCATTGGATTCCGACCCAGTAAAAGTCCTGGGTTCGATCCCTGGAGGGTCAGGTTCACGGGTACACACTGCTGAGGAGTTTCATGCTAGGATGAAACAGCTATCCAGTACTCCCAGGTTTTCAATATTCCTAAGAAGTGATGTCAGATCATAATGAATTCCAATCTGTTATCGAAATTGTCGATTTCAAAATACGCGAAAGTCAATATGAGGAGATGGTTAACAAGTTGGAAGTATGGAGCATTGGATTCTGACCCAGTGGCTCAATGGTAACGCGCTGGTCGCGGAACCTGAAGGTCGCGGGTTCGATCCCTACTGGTGGGGTCGTGGGTGCGCACTGCTGAGGAGTCCCATACTAGGACGAAACAGCTGTCCAGTGCTCCCAGGTTCCCTTCGTTCCTCCAACTGATGTCAGTCTACGATGAATAACAACTTGAAATAACAAGAAACACTTTGAATATACGTAGAGCATATAAGTTACCATCTTATGCACCAATGATACAAATCAATCAATAACTGATATTACAAAAACACTAATTAGATTAACCAAACCTGTGAACTTACTACAGGTTTTTAAAAAAAAACACAACTAACATGATTTGTCTTTTAAAAAAGGAAAGTAAAGTTAAGGTTATACACAGCAGGGATTAATAATCGTTTAGTTTCCTAAAACTTTGCATTTTATGCATTTACGGTGAACAACAGAGAATAGATATAGATAGGCTAAGGATAAGAAGACTACTAACTGATTGACTGGTTGACTGACAAACTAACTGACTGACTGATATTGAATTACTGGAATCGAAAGTAATAGAAATCAGTTGCAATATTTCTACCTCAACTTTTATCTTTAGTTTAAGAAATAACAATAGGATGAAGAAGGAAAAAGTCTAATGAGGAACATGAAAATAAATCACGTGATTATTTGATACTCCTGCTGTGCTATATTCGGTCGAATTGTTGAGGAGCTTGTATGCGGAGGCCTGATGATTATTGATTATCTTGATATCTGCTTGATGGCTAACAGTGGAATCCAGAAGGCACGTTTCACCCTCATTCAGAACTCATCAGCTGGATATACCTTGACCTCAGTGAATGATGCGACACCTATTGCTTCAACCCTCAAGAAGTTTTTTTCACCGGAACACGACGGCCATCTATTGTATGAAAGGGTATTTCAGTTGTTGTTTTTATTTGTAATCTTTCACGTTAATTCTTGATCTGATCTTTATCGGTAACTGAAAGCAATTAACATTTGCAGACTTGAAGTAATATGTCAGGAGGTCGGTACTAACGGTGTAGATAAATATGCTCTTCTTCCATAATAGATTTGTTTATTTAATTTATAATACACAATGATACAGGATATACTGTTGAATTGCCTTACTATATTCTTGTCATTCCGTAGATTATTTACAGGTGAATTTTCAAGTTCCCCTGTCTCTTTCTTTCATCTTTTCAGTGTTAATGCACACTCTCATCTAACCTGTTCACTAGTTGATGCATCCACCCAGCTTAAAGCTACTTCTATACTACGTATGACACCTTCTGCTTTCACATAACCTATTGTCATGTTGAAGTTTACTACTTTCGTCTCAGTTGAGCTTAGACTTCTCTCCAACAGAGATTCACTACCCACTTTATTCTATTGATGTTTCATTTGTCATCTTTTCCACAGATATCTTTATTGTATTAATTTGTTGACCTTTTTCATTTGACTTGACTATTTCTGGATTCATTGAATCCACCTGGTCTAGCTTTAGGAAATTCATAGTTTCTGATGTTTACTATCATCATAAGTTTATATTTCAGTTGTTCAATTTTATTCTACATTGTACTTAACTTCCTGATAATCCTCTGAATTTCCTCCTTGAGATAAAGTTTGCTCAGACATCTTCTATGACTCTTTTGATTTTCTCAGTGGATATTGGAATGAATACATAGACGAAGATATTTAGGAATAATTTGATTTTTCATATAACAAACATTGAAAATATGATGATTTATCAAAGGTGCTTCAGTTTTGGGAAAATCATATCAGTTTATTGACTAACCCTTGGAACATGTAAAACTTGGGCACTATGGTAGAATTCAATTCCATATTAGATTTGTTTAGTTGATTTATACCAACATACAATGAGTGATACAGTATTATTTACTTGACGATGTTTAGAGCATAAATTATCACTGTTCATTATCATATCAATGTGTTATCGCACTCCTTTAGATATCTGATTTCTATAGTCCCGTCACCTCTTATTCTTTGTTTCTGTTGGTAGTGAAACTTCCCATATCTCTAGTATAGCTGTTGCGTCATTTCTATTACATGTATTAGTTTGGTGTTGATTCGATTAACAATGATTCAGTTTCGATGTAAAACGTCTTTATGCCAAAATATCAACCAATATCAACTAAATAGTGACTCAGAACTGAACCAGAGAACTAAGATATCGGTTGATGACATCATATTAGGCGTACAGTTGTGTGTGATCTCCAAACTCTTCAAGTATCAGGAAAAAATATATAGACGAACAGGAGTAGTAATGAGATCAGCAGCATCCCTAATCGTAGCAGATA